AGCCCAACACTAGTTGGGGGAAATGATCAAAAAAAGATTGAGGAAGATGTTTATTTACATAATAAAAGAAGGAGTGGGGAGACCCTTGCACAGCAGGTCTATAGATACAGCTCTCCTGAAAACTAATTAACCATCATTTTAAACAGACAAAAATGAGTATAAAAATATATGTGTTATATCAGTTTGTTCTTTTAAAATAAAACTGGAGTTGTCCTTTAAGTATAGAGAACCTCTGGTGGATTTGAATTTCCTGTATTTTAGAGCCACGTTGATGTAGTTAATCAATTTATCTTATTGTAAATTAGCATCTGGTAACATTCAGTAAATTACTCTTTTGCTACTTTTACAAGAACGTATTGTCTAAAGCAAACGTAATGCAGAAGAAAAATCACATTGGATATTTCAGTTGTAACACATTACTGTGATCATTGATCTTTACTGTATGTATAACAAGAACATGTAGAAAATAATGCCTTTTGTACAAAATCATTTGCTTCATCCTGGCCATTTAATCTATGCTATTTGGACTAAAATCCTCAAACACATTTGCAATGGAAATATAATAATTTACCTTTCACTAAAACAGAATAATGACAATCTGTTAGTGATTTTCACCCAAGTAGGCTATTACTTGTAATCTCTGTGATCACATTTGCATGCATTCTGTATTTTATTATGCAATTAAAGGACAAATATACATTTATTACCACCAAGCCAGAGAAGTCCTGGTTTATATTGCCCGGCTCATTATAAGTATATCTAAAGAGAAAATGTTTTTTAAGTTTTGGATAGAATAGAGAACAGGTAAAACCCAAAAGATTTCCTTTTTACCATCTTTGTCCTATTGGGAAGATCTTCCTTCATTTCCTTTACTGCAGAGGTAGGCAACCTTAAAGAGGTTGAGATCTACCTGAACAACAAGGTAAAGTCAAAGATCACCGGGCACAGTGTTGCCTTCTCACACCTGATTTAAACCTCTAATTGCTGTACTACCGTGTCACAATCGTGTGCATTGCACAGCAATCATGGGTTTAAATCAGGTGGTTAGGAGGCAACATATTGCCTCCTCACCACCTGTCAAACGCCCTGGGATCGCTTTGGAGAGGAGCAGCAGTGCCTGCTGCACCTGTGAATGAGTGCATAGTTGTAATCAGCAGCGGCACCCTAAGGGCTTGTTCACATGTAAAGTTGGGGGGTGGTAAAACCTTGCGGTTGAATAAGTTTTACCATCCCCCAATCCCTACCCTCTTTAGCTGCTGAGGCAGCAGTAAAAGGTGTACACATGCCACAGCGGGAATTACACCCCCTGTTGCGTTTGGTGGGTGCTACCACCTGTCACCCGAGACCCATTCAAGTAAATGGGCCACTCTGCAAGTGCCCTGCAACTGCATGCTTCTGCGAAGTCCAAGGGCTTAAAGCAGGTGGTTTGAAAGCTACACAACACTGCCTGTTTAACCCCTTGTTTGCTGTACTGCACAACGTTGCAGGGCACTTGCAGAGAAGCCTCATTCACTTGAATGGGTCATGCTTGGCAGGTGCTACACCCTTCAACCATCACAGGGCGTAGGAGCAGCACTACAAAGGAGACATCAACCTATGCAGCTCTTGCTCCCTATGACAGCTCCAACTTTGCAAGTAGTTCTTCTGCATTGCACTCTGTCAGCAAGCCCAAACTGAGATCTACCAGTCACCTGACCAAGATCTACTTATAGATCACGATCTGCTGGTTGTTGACCCCCTGCTTTACTGTATACACAGTAGGGAATGAGATCAAATCTGTTAAAAGTGAGGAAAATGCCCTCTTAGATTTTACCAGAAAAAATGCCCCATTTGGAAGATTTTTTTTACGCTTTTCCCACTTTTGGTCCTGGTGACAATCTCCCTAGTGGAAACAGAAACAGCAATAAAACATGAATTCTGGTCCCTTTAAACTTATCCAAAATTGAAGATGGTGAGTAGGGTATAGTGGGGCCTCATAAGATCCACCCCATCTTTGGCATTGTAAACCAAGTATAGCCTGTAGCTCATATGAGTATTTTGACATGTATAATTTTAATAAACAAGTAGATTCACTGTATCAACAGTTTTCTATACAATGACTGCTGGAATACAGCATTCCACATTTCCATGCCATCAAGCAAATTGTAAACATTTCCTGTTGGCAGTTCCGGATTTACAAGAAGACAAAATGGGGCAATTGCCCTGGACCCCATTGACAGAAGCCCCCCCCCCCCCCATATAAAAATAATATAAAACAATATAAAAAATTATATAAAATAATAAAAAAGAAATAATAATGATACAAAAATATAAAATATATAATAATAAGCAATAAACTTGCTTTCTTTTATTAAATGTATCTTGTGAGATAATATTTTGCCTGCCATCATCTGTAAAAGTTTTTTCTCTGAACTTCTAATCTTTATCATTTTCAAAAGTGAATATTGGCGGCTAAAGCAAACCACACATTGAGGTTTATTTACTAAAAGCAAATAGACTGTGAACTCTGCAAATGCAGTTGCACTCTGTTTTCTTATAAAATATAAAGATGGTGGAGCTTCACTTTGCAAAGAATATCAATCAGGTGCAAGAAAAAATAATTTTCACATATGGCTGGATGAGTGCACAGTCTATTTGCCTTTAGTGAATCCACCCTATAGAGTGCTTATGCTCTTAATGAAGGTGGCCTATGACTCTGTGTGTGTGTGTGTGTGTGAGCGTGACCTCAGAATGGTGTTGTGCCATGCATTTTGAAGATGTGTGACTGTCATTGAGAATGTAAACCAACTTTGTGTGTGAGGGGTCTCCCCAAACCTGATGTGCCCCAGCCCCCAAGGTCTAGATCTGTCCCAACCTGTTGGAAGCAAATTATACTTAATTTTTTTTTTATGCAAGCCATCAACATAGGTAAACTAATTTTATCAGTTGGATTTTGTCTTTCCTTTGTCTGAATTTGGACTTTGAGCATGGATGGAATTTGGAAGACTAGTATCTCAAAGCATGGCTTTTCATACCTAAGATGCCCCTGACACATGCTCATCCAACTCCCCATGAAGGTCAGCATTATAAGTATCTGGGCACATATTTGTTTTTCTGTTTGAAATACTGAAAGATTTACATGCTGTATAAGGTTGGACATTAACGAAATGTGGTAGAAGCTCAAGCTGTCCATTTTTGACTCATAATGTATTATATTTGGAGAAAGTATCATTATGCATGATGGATGCATTTAAGTTGATAGATTTAATGACTTTCTGCAAAGTTTTACTCTTTGGGAATTGCACAGAGTATGCAGTAGGCGATTCTCAGTGTTGCTAGCCACTAGATACACAGTTATGTACATAAACTGCTTTTGAAAAATATTTGTGGTTTTCTAAGTGTGTTTAATCCGTGCCTGGTTAGTGTGTTGTTTATTAAGCCATTAACACCTAATATAAAACATTAACATTTCACCTACTAGATGTATTGTAATAAAAATAATGTAATTTTATGATATTTATGATTTGTTTTTTTTGAATGCTAGGAAAATATGCATAACTAAGTTCCGTGTTCTTTTTTGAAAATGGAAACGTTCTATTTGGTTTGGTCTTATGTTGTAACATGAAGGTGTCCCAATATCCCAGGAACTCCTAGCAAACAAGAATGTGACCTATCTCATATTTCTGTTTACATTACTTTGATGCAAGGGGCAGGTGGTTGCATTGCATAGGAAGCCTGTGAACTAACACTGGCTCTCACGTTTAAGGGTAACTCAGCTTAGGAATTTGGTATATATTAATAATGCACTGAAAATCATCGATTGCTTCATCATTGGAGGTGTTCTGTACATTGCATACTGTATATACAATAGTATCCAAGAAATGGATTGTCTGTGACTGAATTGGGCTTTCCAGCAGTTTTTCTCTCATTACAGTTCTGAAGATAGTCATAATACTATTGCAAGCATACCCTACTACCAGGGGCGGACTGACAATTTGGAAACGTGGGCACTGCCCAAGAGCCCGCGGTCAGTAGGGGGCCCCATGAGATGCCCCTGGTACCTTTTTCATAGGCTTTTTTGAGTTTGGGCAAGGACACAGGGGCCCCATGATCCCCTATTGCCCGGGGGCCCCATGAGTTGTCAGTCCGCCCCTGCCTACGACACAGAGCATAGAAGAAGGTTAGTAGAATTCAGCAATACAGCAGGAGGTAGAAGTGCACAATGAAGTTGGATGGATGGTTGGATAAGTTTGTTTCCCCCCCATAAAAGTAGAGTTACAATTTTATCATCATGATAACATACCAGATTTCACCAGCAGACAGCCCTATTATTATTATTATTATTATTAATAATAATAATAATAATTACTATTATTATTATTAAGTCTGGATGTTATTGATCACAGGCTAAAGCTGGTTACACACTGAATTGTATCCGGTTCCTGTTGAAACAGATGAGAATTGCTTTGTGGGTGGCTCCAATCAGATGTAGTCACTATTTGGGCATTCAGTAACCACTATATGGGATTCCTCCATCCATGCTGTATAGTGCGGATGGCTCAGCCTGCAGGCTGAATGAAAATAATCAGTGGGGTGGATTTACTAAAGTCAAATAGGTTGTGAAGGTTCACTTTGCAAAGAATACCCAATCACATGCAAGGAAAATAAACAGCATATTTTGCTTGTACATGATTGGTTGATGGGAATCTATTAAGCTCTGGAGCAACTGCACTTGAAAAATGCACAGTCTATTTGCCTGTAGTAAATCAACTCCATTGTGTATATGGCCAGGATAAGTAAAATTCAGAAACTGAGAAGCAAGGGGGCACCTTTTAGTCTTAATGCATAGAGGGGTCACGAACAAATGGCATTTCCCTTCAGTGCCATATAGCTCAATAATGTAACTGAGTCGTATATAGTACTTGTTGCCCATGGAGCCAATATAGATTGCAAATTTTCAGTGCTGCGATCTGTAGTGGTGGATACTGTATTTATAGGCACCAGGGGCGGACTGACAACTCATGGGGCCCCCGGGCAATAAGGGATCATGGGGCCCCTGTGTCCTTGCCCACACTAAAAGCACACCCAAAAAAGCCTATAAAAGGTACCAGGGGCATTTCATGGGGCCCCCTACTGACCCCAGGCCCTCAGGCAGTGCCTGAGTGCTCGAATGGTCATTCCACTCCTAATAGGTACCCATTATTTTCAGACACATTTAACCATTGTTGCATGTAATTGTTTTCAGTGAATAAACTGTAGAATGTGTTTAGATGCACTGGGTAGCATAAGCAGTTCTCTTTAGACACTTTCATCTATGAGACCAAATTGTCTATAAAGGACATTGAAGTTTGTATAGAGAAGCAGGTGACAATGTGCCTTATTTTTTATAGTGTTAGAATGAAGAACTGTTGATGTTGCAACTGATTAGAATATAACTCAAATTTTTTTCCCTTCAGCTGCCATTTCTCTAGGTTCTGCACATTTGCTCTTTTTAAGAGCCTTCTGCCTTTCTAAGCCTAGCCTAGACTGGTCATTTTCACAAATTTGGCTGATTAAAGGAGGCAAGCCAATGGCATGTATAAAGGGAATGCTTTCGCTGAATTTTACTTGCCGTCTCTCTGTATTCTAAGCAACTTACGGTGCTTGAATTTAGGTTTACCTTTCATCCACTGAACATTATTATATCCATAATTTCAGAATCCATTAGTGGCAATTTTTCAAGCTAATGGATTCCCTTTTTGAGCAAAATTCCAAATGTAAATACTGTTCCTACTGTCTGACTTATCATATAACAACTTAAAAGGTATTCAAAAAATGTCTGATATATGAAGATAGAGTTCCCAGTAGTAAACTTTTCCCATTATCTAAATTTAATTAAACATTAAATTTAATTTATTGAAGCATGTTATCATTCACCTATGGACATGGAGTACTGAGCTCAGCTATGAGAAGAGACACGGTGAGACAAGAGTGGTGAGGTGCAGACCAAAACATAATATGGTCAGAGGAAGAACTAAAGCAGAACACTGAAATGTTAGGCAAATTCAAAGCATTGGAGTCGCACCCTGGTCAGAGAACTAATTACAAAGGTGATATTTTTGTGCCCACATGTAATGGTAAAAATAAATTTTTGATTAGTCAGTCCTAGATTACAGTTCTATACATATAAGAGGGCCCCCAAGCACCTAAAGTGGGGTTAGTTTATGAAACTTCTAAATTCACTGGGTGTTCCTTCAAACATCGAAAGGAGCAACAAATTCTAAGTGTTCTGCTGAAGTGTAAACTCAAAGACAATTTTTCAGCACGTTTGCAATTATGCCTCAATGTATACAGGGGTTGATTTACTAAAACTGGAGAGTGCAAAGTCTGGTGCAGCTGTGCATGGTAGCCGATCAGCTTTTAACTTCAGCTTGTACAATCATGTTTTGGCTATAAAACCTGGAAACTGATTTGTTTCTATGCACAGCTGCAGCAGATTTTGCATTCTCCAGTTTTAGTAAATCAACCCCACAGTTTTCTTAGGTTCTGTTGATGGGCTTTGGGGTTGTGTCAGTGATATCAGTTTGAGACAGCCCTGAGGTCATTCTGAATACATTGACAGGTACATTTAACCTGCAGCAAAACTGCTGTTGACCTGCTTCAAGTGAGGTTTACATTCCTTGTTTTGTATGAGAATGTAAAACCCACTCAAAAAGAAAGTCGTTGACACATGCCCTTAAAACAAACCTAACCTTACCTCCCCTTGCTCCCTCACTGGTCCAGACATCTTTAATTGGCCTTTTTCCAGGTTCAATGGTATCAGACATATGTTAGTGAAACTTGTTTTTTTCTTGAATTGACTTATAAAAATGATATGCCTTGGGGACAGCGTTTCTATCACATCTCGGCCTATGAACCCAGCTTAGTGTGATCTCAAGAATAGTCCCATATTACCAAAGCAATTATCACCAAAACCATATGTGAATACAACAAGAGTAAATTATTGCGTCTTACAATTTTTCACACATTTCTAGTTATCATTTTGGTGATGAATGTGAGAAAGAAGTGAATAGAGCCCATTGTAAATTATTCATGTTTCCATCTGTTTAGAGTACAGCTAATCCCATTTAATTGGGGAATTCTTGGAAAATTGGAGGTGTATAGTTGAGTTGGCACTTGGTGACATAAGGACAATACTATAGGCATTCTGTGTATTTGGGGCCAATATGTATACTTGGGTGAACTAATTAACTCCTTTGTCTTTCTATGGTTTTCAGTATCTCAGGTTGCCTTCATTTATGTTCATCTTTGAGAAAGAAACCACTTAAACTCAATGGTATCTCAGATAGGAGGTCTTGAGAGCTAAAGTGCACCATGCATACTGATTACAAGGAATATCTTTGGGCATGATTAAAATGCAACTTGCTTTAAGAGAAATGCCTTAGGACCAATTAACAGAAAATGGATATTTCAGGGATCTCTTCAGGCTATTCAGAAATATTCCTTGTGCATATTTAGTGTTTTGATTTTGAATTAAATACGTGTAATCTTATACCAGTTTTTGTTTGGATATGGATTGACTGCTTAACGTTCTTTCTTTCCTCACTTTTCCATTTTCCCTTTTTTTTTTCTATTCTTTCCTCCTTCTTTCCCTTTTTTTCTGCATTTCTGTTCTTTCCTTCTTTCCTTGTATTTTCCCTCCATCAATCTATCCTTCCCTTCTTTCCTTATCTTTTCCTTCCTTCTATCATTCTGTCCTTCCCTAATTTTCTTGTCTTTTCATTCCTTCTATCATTTTGACCTTCCTTTCTTTCCTCGTCTTTTCCTTCTTTCTGTCATTCTGTCTTTTCCTTCTTTCATTGGCTTTTCCTTCCTTCTCTTACTCTGTCTTTCCCTTCTTTCTTTGTCTTTTCCTACCTCCCATCATTCTGTCCTTCTGTTCTTTCCCTGTCTTTTCCTTCCTTCAGTCATTCTGTCTTTCTCTTCTTTCCTTGGTGTTTCCTTCCTTCTCTTAAGTTCCATTCACATAGCTTGTTTTAGCGTTTTTAGCACAATTGTTTGTCACATATTTTTCAGCGATTTCACTGTGATTTTTGTGAATTTTTGGGCGTTTTTATACGACATTTTTAGCCATTTTAGAGCTTTGGGGTTTTTGTTTTTAGCCAATAGATAAAAATATCCTATATTTGTTGCTAGGTTTTTCTGTTTTTTTTTTTTAGTTTTTCCATGAGCTTTTAGGTTTTTTTAAATTATTATTATTGTTATTCATTTATTGTTATTTTGTTTTTTTAGTAGGGTAAGGGGTTAGAGTTAAGGTTAGGTTAAGGTTAGGATTATGGGTTAGGGTTTGGGTTGGGGTTAGTATTTTATTTATTATTTCTTATTATTTATATATAGTATTATATTTATAGTATTTTATTTATTATTTTCTTTCTATATATTAATTTTTTTGGTTAGGGTGATAATATTATTATTATTATTATTAATAATAATAATAATAATAATAAACAAATGTAAAAGAAATTTGCAAATCTGCGCAATATGAGCTCCAAAAGTAGCTCCAAAACTTTTTTGAGCTTCAGGCGTTCTGATTAAGGCAACTTGGAGTGAGATGTGAACCATCTCCATAGAGTAATATTGATTTTTTTCCCCCCCTGAGCGTTTTGGAGGTTCGCGTTACAAAATGCTCAAGTGTGAATGCAGCCTTTCTCTGTCTTTCCCTTTTTTCCTTGTCTTTTCCTTCCTTCCATCATTCTGTCCTTCCCTTCTTTCCCTGTGTTTTCCTTCCTCCCATCTTCCTTTTCCTTTACTCTCCCTCCCCCCCTCCTCTTCCATGTTTTTCTCTATAGTAGTGACATTTGTAAGGCTACCCTTGTTAATAGTTAAATTGGACAACATCCGTATGATTATGGGCAGTATATGACCCCTGCTTTTCATGTTAAAAAAACTATCATTCAAAATGGTTTTCCAGGTTGGTACTTTTCCCCTAAGATAAGACTGGCTCCAGGGATGTCTGCTCGGAATATAATATGCACCTTCATCCAAAACAAGCATGTATGTTTATGTCACAGTCATTCTACAGAACAATTACATGGTGACGTTTTCCAGCATGTGCTCATTATCCCCTCAGGGCAGACTGTGCTCTAAAGCAGTCCTGACATATAAAGAAAGAAAAGCTATGTTGAGTGGAAATTAATAGCCATTATTTTAAGGTTTAATTATGCACCATGTCTACAGGTAATAATATATTTTTTTAATTTGATGCGACGTCTGATTTTTTTTGCAAACAAAAGCTACTATTTTCAGGATTTTTCATAGTATTTTTGTAGCATAATACATAGTATGGATATCCGTTTTTGAAGTTTATAGGTTTGACCTCGGGGAAAATGTGTGCAAAGTCAGAGACGGCGATATGACATATTTGTATAATATTATGACATTGTATGGATAATAAATTATACACAGTTGCAGCCTGAATACTTTTCTGGGCATATGAAAACTGTGTATGCATGAAAAGTCTCACTAAAACATATTACACACACACAGCTATACATGCCATGACCTGGATGACATAAATAGTCCCAAATGTATGCATTATCTCATGTAAATATATACACATGGTGAGGACAGGGTATGCGCTTTCTGGAAAGGATTTGACACTTGCAGTTTCCAAGAAACTTAAAACCAAGTGTGTGCTTATATGTGTGTGTGCATGTGTACGTGTGTGTGTGTCCAAAGAGCAAAACCTGCCTACCAAGGTTGCAGTAGATTTCTAGTACATAATAAAATATTTATAAAATATAATATCCCAATTAAAATGTTTTCTGGTAAATGATTTTGCCATTCCTCCATTCCAATCAAACATAGACATTAGGCATTTAAATCTAAACCCTACATCAGTGGTTTTTAAAAAGGTTGTAAAGGTTCAAGGTTTTTTACTTTCATGCATTCTGTGCATGAAACCTTCTTTGTGCAGCAACAAATATAAATCCACATCCACCTTCTGAGATAATTCAAGAGCATCATTCCATCCCATCTATCCTGGAAGGATAAAAAGTGTATTTGCCTGGATTTATTCAGGCAAATATAGAGGTGAGCACATAGGGAGACCATTAAGCACTCGGCGAGAGGGAACAAAGAATCCACCTGCACATTTATTTTGAAAGCCTTTTTTTTTTTTTTTTTTTTTTTTTTTTTTTTTGAATATATCATAAGCACGTGCACATAATATATATGTGTTTGCACAATATAAATATAAGGATCACAGTAGAATAGAGGAGTATTTCTGATTTGTATATCACTGTACTTTAATAGGCACTATCACCTTAGGATTATCAGTTATTAATGTCACTTGCATGAAGATTAATATTCACAATGATGTTTTGAGTCACTAGTAATAATTGTTTGATACATGCAGTATCTTGAAAGCTATTCATTAGCACTTTGAAAGTATAAGATATACATATTGGTACATGGGAGCGCGGCACTATCTATTTTGAAAAACTTCTTTGTGCAGCCCTCCCCCCCAGGCCCCCCAAAACCTACCTGAGCTCTATCTCAATCCAGAAATGTGCACGAGAGCCTTGGCTGTCCCAGGTCTCTCCCTCCTCATTGGCTCCTGCTACTGTCAATCACAGCCAGTGAGCCAATGAGGAGAGAGTGGGGGCAGGGCTGAGCCACACCTTGTTTGTGAATGGACACACAAAGTAGTGGCTCAGGAGTGAGCCTGCTCGGGTTGGGTAGCCTCATAGCAAGCTGCTTGCTGTGAGGGCACTTGGCAGGAGGGAGGGCCCAGGAGCAGTGGCAGGAGCCCCGAGATGAGGAGGATCAGGGATGCTCTGTGCAAAATCACCACACAGAGCAGCTAAGTATAACATGATAGTTATTTTTTTTACAATCACTTTAATTTTTTTTACATCATGGGCACCTTTAAGAATCTGCTGAAAGCTATGGACCCCCTACCAAGAAATGTTCACATAAACACAACTTTGCCTGCAATGAATATATGTACTTTATTATAAGAACCTGTAGTAATTTTATTGAAACTTGATTGCCTCATGACATGAGAATAAACAAACTTTGAAGTAAATTATAATTATCACTCGCTATTGTGAGGTGGCACTATATGGCTGTTGTTTAAAGAACAATGATACAAATTTAAATGGTAAGCATGGGCAATGGTAAATGGTAAACAATGAGTCAAGAGATGCTTCAAGGTCGATGGTATAAGTAGTGGCAGGGTGAGTTTTCTTTCATTTCTTTCAGTGGGACAAGGGGGAGAGCTGTATAGTGAATGTAAATGTTACTTTTTATTTAACCCTCATGGACCCCCTGAAATCAATCCATGGATCAATTAGGGGTTCATGAACCCCAGGGTAAGAGCCCATGCTCATTTTGGATAAAGTAGGGAATGGTTCAGACTGCTGTCAGTTTCTTTTTCTTTTTTTTACCATTTTTTTCACTTCTTATCCAGTATATACAACAGAGAGTAAGAGGAATTTTCTCCAAAGCAAGGGAAACTCTCTCTTAGGCTAGGTTCACACTGTTGCAGGCACAGGAATGTGTGTTAATTGCATGCATTCCTGCACCTGCACCCAAAATGTTCTGTTCTCTAGCAAACCCATGGGGGACCCATTACATGCGGGTGCAATTTCAGGTGCATGAAACTGCATGGTGTTACAGCACCACGTGGTTCCATGTGGCCGCATTTTCAGAAAAGGGTCAGGGACTTTTTTTGCCTGCAGGAAACACAGGTGCAGCAGCTCATTCAAAGCCCATTCAATGCTGTGCCCTTGCAAACACAATCCCACCACCTGATACAGTGTGAATCTTGCCTTAGGGCCTGTTCACATTAATTGTGATGCAAGAAATGCTCCCTTTTTTTTTGCGCATTTGCCACAAAGCATGGAAAAGAGTTGCCCTAGTTAGACACTTGCAGGTGCCACTAATTGTTGGTTCAACCAAATTTATCAAGCAAATGCATGCGTTTTGTGGCCACCACAATGTATAGTGCCATGTGGTTTGGTGTGGTGGGATTTAAAAAGTTACACCTACTGTACTTTTTTGCACATTACCATGCATTTGGTAGCCCATGGAAATGAATGTGCTTTCAAAAACACGCCACACAGGAATGTGCAAAAATGCATGTGAATGAGCATGCTCTGGTGTGAACTGGCCCTTACACAGTTTTCACCAGAACAATTGTCCACACTGGAAAAAATCCCTTGTATTTCTATTCCAGTGACATATCAAAATTTAGATTTTTCCGTCAGTTTCAGCTCAGTGACAATGATCGTCAGAATGGATGAATCTTTACAGCTGAGACACATAAAGCAATCAAAAAACATGACAGAGGTTCTAACCCTCACCAATCTAAATCAATTAAAATAAAAAGAAAGCTTTGCTTTACACCACATGAGTCCCCAATGCCACGTTAAAGCAACTCCTGGGAGAGCAACTGTTCATCCCAGCACTGTTTTAAAATTGCTCCAGGAATCGGTGGCTCCTCCCATATGGAAGAAAAATATATTTGAAATATATTTTAAAAATATTCTTCCCAAATATATTGCCATATAGTTGAAAAAAAAAATCTGAAGAATATATTTTAAAATAATATTTTTAAATATATATATTTTTTAAATATATTTTTCAGACTTTTTTAACATATAAAAAAGTAAATTTTAACATATATTTTCACAAATATTTGTAAATGCAATCCAAAAATATAGATTTGTATTTTTAAAGACATACAGTATATTTGAAATGTATTTTTAAAAATAATTTTCATATATTTTGTAAAAAAAAACCGCATTTCATCATGCAGTGTATATATATATTTATTGAAGTATATTTTGAAATATATTGAATGTGGCCAAAATTGTAGTATTTAAAATACAGCTATATGGCAATATATTTGGGAAGAATATTTTAAAAAATATATTTCAAATATATTTTTCTTCCATGTGGGCTGTGAGTCCCATTGGTGAGACAGATGGGAACTGCCGGGTGTCAGTGACAGTCGGTATCCAGGAGTTAGAACAGTGTTTTGAATATAGTGATGTCACTAGTGCCTAAATGAATTAAACATTTAGTTGGGAAAAATTAAAAGAAAATGCACTTTTTCTAATTTTGTGATATCCTTTTGTAAGAAAAACTAATGATAAAAAAGTTGCATCTAAGTTTGCTACCAAAATTAAATCCATATATATCCCCCAAAAAATGTTTTATAATACATTTGAGTAGGTTAAAACATTAAAGGATATAATGTGCCAAATTGCATCAATGAAACAAAAATGCTCTAAAAGGGATTTAGAAAGAAA